AGTATGGAACTTTCCCACTAATGATTATAACCTACCTTTCCATGAGGATAGTTTTCTCCAGCTTATAATAAGAAAGATTATTTGGATTTTTTTTTTAAACACGTGCCTCCTGTAAGTAAACAACTTTGTGCGGGTTCTTTTATAGATGATTCAGGCAGTCTTCATGATGAACAAAACTAAAGTAAAATGGGCAACAAATGCCTAGTTCAGCCTGTGGAGAAAGTCTTGGAGGACTAATAACAAAAGTGACACAGATTGAAAAGGACAACCAGAGACTCGGGCCTGGAAATCAGCAGCTTGTGGCTATAATTAGTCAAATCTTCAATTACTCCATCAACCTACCACGCACGTCCACTTTAATACTTAGATAGCATATAAACACCTGCAAAACCAGTGCAAACTGACCTAAAGATGGAAGTTTTTCGAAATGTCATTCTTCTAATCTGTGCTAATTTTCTAGTTTAGTCCTTCAACACTCAACACAAGTATCACAATGCCAATTTCACCTTTGTGCATGTGCAATTTATTTAAAACTCAAAACATATAGAATTCAACAGAGTATACTAGCATATATAAATCTGAGATACATTTAATATTTAGATTTTAAAAATATCTAAGTACACTAAATTAAGAATATTTCCTTCTATAACTGGAAAAATGAGTTTATGTAACACAGTTCAAAGGAAGCTAGACGAGATACGTACGTCAACTTTTATACGAACATTGTAAACAATGTCAACTTCTAGAGTATAGACAAGGAAACAGAAAGCCACCAGCACTTAAAAAACTACCTTTAATACTTGACAAACACATTTCAGGTTATCTTCAGTGGGATTACTGAGAAGGACATCAAGTAGCTCAGTAAGAGCTATTCCAAAGATCCACAACTTTTCTTTTACATCTCCTACAGTAACCTAGAAGAATGAAGATGGCCTTGAAGCAATTGTAATATTATATTACCCCTGGAATAGAGTCCATGAATTTGTTGGTTATAGGTTCCTTAATAACAAAAATAAAACAAAAAATATCATTCATTTTAATACAATGTCAATATTTAATGCTAGGGTCCCCTTTGAATCATATGACGAAAATAAGTAACTTGATCCATTTTTTTTAATCAGGTTTTTTTTAAAATTGTTGTAACAAGATAAACAGTAATCAAGTAGAGGCTTGTATAAAAACAATTCAGTAATTTCCGGATTACATAAAAATCCAGTTTAACATCGTATTAGTACAAGAATACACTACTAAACTTTAAGTCACATTTTTAAATGTTTTAAATAAATCAGTGCCCAAAATTAGTAGAAGTACAAGTTTTGAATGCTTGCACCTATAATTCTTTGTTCCAGATTTTAAAAAAACTATTTATCTAAACAACTATTATTGTGTAGGACGCTTGTTATTACTTCCCAGTGGCTAAACTAGAACAAAAAACCAAGAATATAAGCTAGATGTACTTGCACAGGGTCGTCGAAAATGTTTTGTTTTCAGAATAAATAAAACAAAAATTAAGAGTAACAAATATTTTTTATTTCTTGCTTTGGAATTTCATATGTCATACTGTGTTGTAGCCTACTGAGTACACAATTCTTTTCATGATTCATGGCATGCACACTTTTTACTGACGTTACGACAGTACAAATTGCAATGTTAAATGTCTCTTATGTGACATCATTTTAATGTCTACTGACAGACAACACACTACTGTATAATGATACAAGTGGTTAAAAGAGGTGACCCCCTCCAGGCAGCCTTCGACTCCCTTTACTTACTATGATCTTACTTCACATGTTATAATTTAAATAAAACTGACAATAAAGTTCGGCTACTTCATCTAATTCACACCTATAGATTGTTGTCCATGCAAATGATATAAATAATACACAGACCATTACTCTGGCTGTCTTATGTCAGCTAGCTTGATAAGCCCTGGTAATGGCCAAAAGGCCTTGTTAGCACTGACTATAGCAGATAATGTTTGGCTGACAGATTATTAAATATTATTCCTTCCCTTACACCCACACTTTCTTAGAATTACTTATAAACAATTGTACGTTATTCAACAAACATTAAATCTATGACTGAAGCTAACAGCTATTGCCTGTGTATTCCATAAACGAGGTACATTCATTCCATTAAAAGTATTGCTTAGAATGTTTGATATATCTAGTTTATTACCTTTTATTACAGAAGCTGTTTGGCATTATTAGTCAACCTGTACACTAATTAATTCCCTACATTAAATCTGTGTCTCATTTTTCAAAACTTTGTCATGAATGAGGATTTAATCGGCAGTTTAAATACTTCCCAATACATTTAGATCCAGTAAACTCTGTTTCAAATGTTGATTATGACCACGTGCTACACGTAATGACATCTTTAAAAAACATTCCAACAATTATCAGGTCCATATTGAGTCATGCATGTGACATGTAATGGACACATTATAGGAGAAATAAATATGTATTCAAAAACTGTTAAATTATTTATTTTCAACAGTTCATTTAACAATTACAATAAAAAAAAATTCTAAATTACAAAAGCAATGTTTCGATAAATACAAGTTTTAGGTCAGGAAAATAAAACTTACTATTTTACCTCTATTTGAGAAAAAAGCTCCCCAATAAAAATTGTGAATCCTCGCAGATAACTTCCACCATCAGATGCGGTGACGAGTTCCTTGCTTCTTTTGTGTTCTTGTTGACATCTAAGAAAAGGTTTACTGTGGTAAACTTTGTGTAGGCATCTTTCAAACTAAGATTTTTAAAGAGTAGGAAATTTATAGAATAGTTTAGCTAAAGCTACTTGTTTGGATGTAATTAACATGAAAGAAGACAATAAAAAGTGAATACTATTTTAAAAAAACTGTTCACTGGCGAAATAATGGTTCTAATAATAAGTGAAATATTTGTGAAAAGTACAATTGTGGATGTAATAATGGTCATAATAAGTGAAATACTTGTGAAAAGTACAATTGTGGTTGTAATAATAAGTGAAATATTTGTGAAAAGTACAATTGTGGATGTAATAATGGTCATAATAAGTGAAATACTTGTGAAAAGTACAATTGTGGTTGTAATAATAAGTGAAATATTTGTGAAAAGTACAATTGTAATGGTTGTAACAATAAGTGAAATATTTGTGAAAAGTACAATTGTGGTTGTAATAATAAGTGAAATACTTGTGAAAGTACAATTGTGGTTGTAATAATAAGTGAAATACTTGTGAAAAGTACAATTGTGGTTGTAATAATGGTAATAATAAGTGAAATATTTGTGAAAAGTACAATTGTGATTGTAATAATAAGTGAAATATTTGTGAAAAGTACAATTGTGGTTGTAATAATGGTAATAATAAGTGAAATACTTGTGAAAAGTACAATTGTGGTTGTAATAATGGTAATAATAAGTGAAATATTTGTGAAAAGTACAATTGTGGTTGTAATAATGGTAATAATAAGTGAAATATTTGTGAAAAGTACAATTGTGGATGTAATAATGGTAATAATAAGTGAAATATTTGTGAAAAGTACAATTGTGGTTGTAATAATGGTCATAACAATTGTCTTTGTTTTCCTCATTTCTGTAAAAATAACTAATTATTATAAATAAAAGTGATGTCTTTTTTGATACATCAAGACTAAAGGGTTATGTTTTTGTCTGTTACCTGGATGCAACTATACTCTGGTGGAAACATATCAGGCTTAAGCATAAGTAATAACAATTTCATTGATTAATTAGCTAAGTATCTTCAGTTACTGAGGTTTCAACTCATTTGAATTTAGCTCCTTACCTTAAGGTTAGGGCCTTTTGAAAAAACAACAAAATTACAGATATTAAAAGTAATAATAAACAATATAAAAAAACAACTGCTACGAAGCAAGTGTTTATTATTAATTTTGACTTAAGACTAATGAAAGGTAGGTTTTAATCTTCAAAGGTTTAAAACATATTACCCAAGGAAGTTTCAAAATCTTTGATGTTATTAGTTTGCCCAACTTACAGACATCACAACTACTAGTTTATAATTGATTGAAAACTTATTTTTGTAGATAATCCATATAAATAAAACATTCACATGTATTTCAAAAATATATTATATAGAACAGTAATCATGATTTTATAACTTAAATAAAAAAATACATGGGTACAGTTTTCATATTTCAATCTACATGTGATACTTGTATTGCTACACACTAAGCATTCAGTACATTTTATTGAAACACTATCCTCTAATACTTCACCCTAATGATCTGCTCAAATGTATAGAAGATTTATCTATAGTTATTTGGCAGTGTGTGTGTGTGTGTAATATTTTTCAATACAACTTTTTCTTTAAGTAATAGGCATTCTACAAATCAAAAGACTGAATTTTTCATGTGGGTTACATATGTTGTGTAACTGCTATTCAAACACTGTCAAACAGTTTATATTAACAGGAGAAAGACCATGCTTGAATACCACCTGTAAGGTGGTATTCAAGCATGGTCTT